GGGGACACTGTTCAGTGATTTGTAGACATACAGGAGTATTTTGAACTGGATTCGAAAGTGAACCGGTAACCAGTGCAGTGAGGCCAAAACTGGTGTAATGTGCTCTCTTTTGCCTGTACTGGTTAAAAATGGGGCTGCTGCATTCTGGACCAGTTGTAGTCGTGCAATGGAGGTCTGACTGATACCAAACAGGAGTGAATTGCAGTAATCAAGCCTAGATGTAATGAATGCATGTATTACTGTCTCCAGGTTCTTTTTGGACAACATGGGCTTCAGTTTAGACAGCCGCCTCAGTTGGAAGAAGCATGATTTAATCATGTTTACATGATTGTTAAGTTTCAGGGAAGGGTCCATTATCACTCCCAGATTAGTGACTCTTTGTTTTTCTGACAGGGTTAGAGCAGAAAGGTCGATGCAGTGGTTTGTGATCGTGTCGTTGGGAGGGAACAACATGACTTCAGACTTCTTTTCATTGAAACTTAAGAAGTTTAAAGCCATCCAGTCCCTGATGTCAGCCAGGCAGTTGAGCAGAGGTTGAATAGAGAATGTACCATTGTGTCTTAGGGGGAAGTAAATTTCACAGTCATCGGCCATTTATTTGAGTTTATTTGAGTATTTATATATGTATATATATATTTTTTTATTCATTCAACCTTTATTTCTACAGGTAAATCCCACTGAGCCTCAAGGACTCATTGACAAGAGAGACCTGATTTAACAAAGAATGATGACAACAATGGACAGTTATAAAAAGGCATACAGTTTGTTTTTTTACAAATAAGATGCAAAAAGAGTAACAAAAAACAGCTAGATTCTAAGGCGAATGTAGAAACTAAAAACAGGAACATGTCTGCATTGGTCCCTGCCAGGAGTCCAACAGATTCTTAAAGCCACTTAGAGAGGTCAAAGGTCAAAGGTCGAGAGCTTCACGTCTTTTTACAAGATATTCCAGGAAACAGGAGCGGAGTAGGAGAAGGTCCTTTTGTCTAGTTCAGTCCTCACTGAGGGAACACTGCAGGTAATGATGTCCTGAGAGCGCACGCTGTAGCTGCACTCACACAGAGACATGTAGGAGGAGATGTATGAAGGCAGCAGACCAGGAAGTGATTTAAAGATGAAAATGTACCAGTGGGAGAGTCTGTGTGAAGGTAATGATAATGCAGAAAGACCTGAAGGTGTCCACCTTCATCTATGTAGTGGCTTTAAACATCTGCTCTGTAGAAACATGAAAGTTCTTGTTTTTCATGTTTCACCCTGATTTATTGTTTTAGACTCTACTTTTACTTGAACTGCCTTGGGACAGTTTTCTTGTCACTGTGTGTAGCTCATGTTGTTTGTTTGAAGCAGGTCTCTCTCCATGAGTCCTCGAGGCTCAGTGACACTAAGCTGCACAAATAAAGCTTGAACGAAAAAGAACCTCCAGCATCTGGTCCCTTCAGGTCCTCCAGAACCTCCAGCATCTGGTCCCATCAGGTCCTCCAGAACCTCAAGCATCTGGTCCCTTCAGGTCCTCCAGAACCTCCAGCATCTGGACCCTTCAGGTCCTCCAGAACCTCAAGCATCTGGTCCCTTCAGGTCCTCCAGAACCTCAAGCATCTGGTCCCTTCAGGTCCTCCAGAACCTCAAGCATCTGGTCCCTTCAGGTCCTCCAGAACCTCAAGCATCTGGTCCCATCAGGTCCTCCAGAACCTCAAGCATCTGGTCCCTTCAGGTCCTCCAGAACCTCCAGCATCTGGACCCTTCAGGTCCTCCAAAACCTCCAACAGGTCTCCTCAGATCCAGTCTCTATTCTAACAGTTTTAAAGTTTCAGGTTAATCAGAGTCTGAAATCAGAACCAGGTTCTTTCTGAACCTGATCAGGTCCAGTCAGTCATTTTGTCTTCTTGCAGAACTCTTTCCTCCCCCCTCCTTCGCTGGCGAAGTTTCGGACTCTGTGGATCTTGGCCAGCTGGTTCTGGATGGTCTTCATTATGTCCACATGGTCTGGGATGTGCACGTAGCGCACGTTCCTGCCGGTGATGAACAGGTCCTGCAGATGGGTGCTCCGCCCCTGCCGGTCCAGGTACAGGACGTCCTCCAGCCGGACGTTCATGAAGGCGTCCACGTTGAGCACGCGTCCCCGAGCCGTGCACTCGTTCCTCAGGTCCACGGTGGTCACCTCCCCCTGCAGACCCTGCAGCAGGACCACCATGCTGTTCTCTGCGATGGTCCGCTCCCGGATCGAGTTCACCACCTCACCTGAAGCTGCAGATCCACCTGCCTCGGACTCCAGAGGTCCAGTTACCTCGGACTCCATGTTCTCTGGCCGTCAGAACCTGCAGAAGGACCAGGTGAGGCTGCAGGTGTTTTCAATGGACTCTAATCCAGAAACAAAAGGCAGTAAATCACTTTAGCTTCTATAATCTTAATCTGAAATATTCCAGCTGTAAAACTTCAGTGAGTGTCACGCTGACGGTCTGATCTTCAAAAACCTTTCAGAGACAGAATCTTTCAGATCAGCGTTAAAGTTTGGGTTCTATCAGAAGTGAAATGATTTCTACACTTTGAGTTTACGTTTGACCCAATCTGCTAAAAACAGTGTGAAGACTCGAACACGAAGTTGATCTGATAAACGCCTCCGAGTTCATTTAACTAGTCGTTCCAAGCGGTCAGGGTCGAGTGCTCCTCATCATCAGCTCTCCACACTTTCAGAAGATTCTTCAGGGTTTTGGACTTTGGCTGCTTCAGCTCAGATCCAGTCCCGACAGAGGATTAAAGTCTGAGGTGCAGACTGTCCTCAAACTTCTCATGAAACTGAAGAGCCAGCTTCAAAGACCTGTCTGATGAACCAGGACCAGATCCATCACAGACCTGAACCAGGACCTGAGAGCTCATTCATCCTTCAGCTGATCACCTTGCTGGAGCACCTGTGCCGTTATTTTATAGTTTTAAGAACCCAAATATTTAATTAAGGTCTAAAAAGGAGCGACTTGTGTAAAACTCTTGATTTAAAGTTTGGTCTTTCTGCTGTGACTCAGAACAAACAACAACAACAACAAATGAAATAAGTCATTTTTCAGATGAAAGCAGCAAAAAACTGAACAGATTCAGTTTGTTACGTTTTCAGACATTCAGCTGCTAATGTTAAACTAAATCTACTTTAATAACTCATTCAGCTGCTAATGTCAAACTAAATCTACTTTAATAACTCATTCAGCTGCTAATGTTAAACTAAATCTACTTTAATAACTCATTCAGCTGCTAATGTTAAACTAAATCTACTTTAATAACTCATTCAGCTGCTAATGTCAAACTAAATCTACTTTAATAACTCATTCAGCTGCTAATGTCAAACTAAATCTACTTTAATAACTCATTCAGCTGCTAATGTTAAACTAAATCTACTTTAATAACTCAGTCAGCTCTGAATGTTAGCATCGGCTAATGTTTGTTCCGTAAAACTCCAGAGGAAATGAGTCTAAAACAATAAATTCTGTAATTAATAAAACTCCACCGACACAGAGAGACAGAAAATTTTCGTCAGAGTCAACAACAATAATTTACATTAATTTAAATTTACCTGACTTTGTTACTTCCATGCGGTTAAAATCAGCACGTTTCTCCGGAACACCTACTTCACGCGCAGCTCTACGTGACGCAGACTGCGTCATGACGTCAAAAAGAAAAAAAAACTTTATTGAAAACGTAAACGGTGACAGAAGTCAAGAAACCATTTCTTCCGAGAAGGGGTTCTCTGCAGACCAAAAGTGGGCGTTTCTGGCGAATAGGCGTTTGTCGGCGGCGACCACTGATTGGCTGTGGGTAACCCTCAAAGTCACGAGGATTATTGATGAGGTAACGTTTCTTTGCGATGTTTGACAAATAAATATGATTTATTGTACTTATAAAGTATGTTATGTTTTCACTTATGCATTTTATTGAAGTACGTTTATTGTAGGTCACGATAGTTTCGACCGTTCTCTCGTTGTTGTCGTAACACATTGAGGTAACGTGAGCCTCCACAGCAGCTCTCACTGTGCACGTGTACAACAACTGGGTGTTGCTTTTCAAAATAAAAGCTGAAAATAAAAGTTCTTAATACTTGAAAAATAAATATTTAAAAGCTGAGTATAACTGAAAAATATGAAAAACAAATAAATAAAAGTTGTTATTAGCTGAAAAATAAATAAATAAAAGTTGTTAATTATATCTATGTCTTTCTGCCATGTCAGGGACCACTCTCACTTCAGACTGACTCTAGAAGACCCCAAGATGTTGCTCAACAATGTTGACCAACATCTGATGTTGACTTTCATTACTCAATAATGAGTAATAACTTATTCAATAAAAAGTCTGTAATTTGTCAATAATAGTCAATAATTCATTCAAGAATAGATTATGGGTGTTTGGTATGGCTCAGTGGCTAAAATGGGTTGGATGTTAGAGAAATTACTTAATTTTCAATTACCTGAATGTACAAATTCCTTCATTTATAGTTAAACTTTAGGAAATCAACTTTTTTTTCCTTGTGAAAAAAATATCAAAATTAACTTTAAAATCCAATCCAGGATTAAGTAACAACTAGCAACACCCTAACTGTGCTATGTTCTGTGTTTCCAACTGATGCTACGATGACTTCTAAAAATGGATGTCCCAATAAACACAATAAAAAAATTCAATGATGCATCAAATGTTGTCTGAGTATGTTTTAAGGTAATAACAAATGAGAAATCTGGAAAACAAAGAGAATTCCTGCATCTGTCTTGTGTGCTTTGATGTGTACATAAGTTTATTGGAGGTCCTGAAACAACTTTTCTGAGAACACAAAGATTTTTATTTTACCTTTGGCCAAGATGTCAGTTTGAAATCAGGCTGCTTACTGCAAAACCAAGAGGTTTTTTAAGACGGTCTTCATTTGTATTGTTTTGTCGACTAAGCTAAATGTAATTTCTAAAATATGGATAAATCTGATCTCATCATGCAGCATGAGCAACTGGGTACAGGTGTGAGGGCCAAAAGTCTGGTTATGTACTGACTCCTAAATGTGCTGGTTTTCTACTGAAACATGGGAGTAGGGTTGACCTTTAAAATGTGAGACAGCTGAGGAAGTTAACCAGTAAACAGAAATACCTGCTCCAGTTGCAGAAATCTGACAGAACCTGAGAATCACTCATCTGCAGTGACTGCAGGTTGAACAAGACAATGTGAAGTTAAAGGAAACCTCCTTTGTCCCAAGGCCAGTTTAAGTATCATTAATATTTTTCTTTCTTTATGAATCGATTGTAACTTTGTTCACATTTTTCAACAACCAAAATGGAATTTGTTTTTTAATGTTATGGCTAGGTATTAAAAAAAAAACCTACCATTTAGCTCTCCCCACTACCCAGTTATGTTGCTCTTATTTTGAAATGTAACCGGAAGTTCTGTGTTAAGAGTCGAAAAAAGAAGTTATGGAGACGCCGCGGCAGTATACTGGAGCAATGTCGAACCGAGACGCCGCTAATGTCGAACTGAGACGCCGCTAATGTCGAACCGGTTAACACCATAAACATAATATGCCTGTGGTTAACACAATCTGCCAATAACACCTTGTTTTTAGACATCATGTGTCTGTGGTTGCGGCATTTTATCGTTCAGCCTTTTTTTCTATCGTCCAATCAGATGTGGCCGGCCAGACACGCCTATTTTTCTATCGTCCAATCAAATATGGCCGGCCAGACAGGCTCATTTTTCTATCGTCCAATCAGATGCGGTCGGCCAGACACGCCCATTTTCCTATAGTCCAATCAGATATGACCGCCCAGATACGCCTTCCGAATTTGGCTGCAGAGACCCCTTCTTGACTTGTTTCTTCCAGCATCTGACCTCTTGATGACAGCAGCTGGTTGTTTATGCTTTTCAGTCAAATCCAGAGATGATCATCGTAATATGAGGTCATTACTTGAAGCAGATTTCACCACCACACCGGATGTTGTCCATTACTGGGCTGGATGTGTAAATGGGCTGAACTGGGTCAACGTGTAAACTGCCATATAGATGTCTGGTGATAAACAAAGTAAGAGAAGTATCTTATGAATGAATCCACAGGTACTACCCTGCCACGCAGTACACGTTAAAGTTTATTAAAGATATTTGTGTGAAGTGCTGTGTGTGTGAGTCTGGGCCTGACACTTTGATCCAGATGTTCTGGTTCTGTCCATGACTGCCTCCTTCTGGAAACAAGTCATCTGGTTCATCCAGAGAAAGATTGACTCTAATTTCTGTTGAAGTTGGAACAATGTGCTGTTTGGAGTCCATGACGTCACAAACAAAAATCAGAAAGAACTATATATCATAAATCCAAAAAAGTTAAATCTGGTCCTCTGGACATTCAAAAAAACAAAAACAAAACAAAGCAAAAAAAATCTAGAAACGTTTCGTCTCTCATCCAAGAGACTTCCTCAAGAAGGACCATCAGCCTAACAATGGATCATTAGCACCTGATGGCTGTTTACTGTTCACAGAGGGCTGAGTGATACTAG